CCTTCTCCGCACCAGGTGGGAGCCCACCCAGGGCCGGGGTCAGGGTTTCCAGAGCAGGTGGTCTGAGGGTCAGGGGTTGGAGACTCAGGTGGTCTGAGCCCGACCCCCCCGCCAGAGGAACTGGACAGCCCCCTCGCAACCGGATGTCAGAGGGTCTGGTGAGCATGGACTGCACTGTGGTCTGAGGCTGCGGGTTGCTGGAGTCCTACCGGGATTCTGGTTTGGGTCTGGACAGGTGCCAGACCGTTCCTGGTTCAGAGAACCAGCGGTCCTTTGGCAAGGGGAGGAGATGACCAGGCTCTGCTGCCCTTTTGCTAAGGAGTTAAGAGAGGCCAAGCCCAGAGCTGCGAGCTGCCTGGGTGCAGGGTGCAGAGGAGAGGGTTGTGACTGCCAGAGCTCCCTGACCGCATTTACCCACGTGTGTCACAGAGGAGGACGGCAGCCCCCATTGGCCCACCCCCTCCTGAGCACCTGTGTCCCTCCTCCCATCTCCACACTCTGGTCAGGAGACAGGGATGGAGACCAGGGGACAGCCACCCTCACACCCTCACACACACACACACACACACACACGCACACACACACGCACACCAGCTGCTGCGTGCCACCCACCTCGCCCCTCTCCAAGCCACTCGCCCATCTGCCTTGGGTGGGAAAGGTCTGCCAAGAGCCCTAAGGGACTCCTCTCAAGGGCTAGACAAGGACCAAGGGCTACAGTACATGGTCCCTGCCCCTACCAGCCCTCCTAGGGCTCTGCAGCTCTCAGGGAAGGGCGGGTAACAGCCTCAGATGAGGTGGGCTACAGCCACCCAGCTGTGGAGACTGGGAGGTTAGGGGGCACAGGGCTGGCCCTACTTCAGCCCCAGTCTTTGCTCTTTGCTGGGATTTCAGACACCAGTAAAGGGAGGGGCATCTAGTCACAGTCTGGCCAAGTCCTGGCCATGTCTGGTGGAGGGCCATGGCTCCAGGACTAACAGCAGCCTAGTCCTGACGCCAGCCCCTCAGCTGAGCCCAAAAAACCCCTCTGGGTACACAAAGCCCGCAGTCTCTTTGTGAGCCTCATCGATATTTCCTTTGTTCAAGCCTCAAGGGCACCGGGGGCCAAGTTTGCCACCCACCAACCCAACCTTGCCCAGGGTCCTGGCTTCCAGTTGGCTCATGGGCACACTACCTCCCTTCTAACTGCACCATGGGGACACCAGTCCATCCTCTCCTATCTAGATCGTTGGGCTGGACATGGCGTCCTTGCACAAGTCCTCCAAAGCAGTGCTCTCAACTCCATGAAAGAAGAGGGTGGGACAAGGTGGCCACAGAGACAGAGGACCCAGCTGGGCTCAGCGAGTGGTGGGCGAGCCTGTCCCTGTTGCCCTCCAGATTTGCAGACAGGAGGGTGGTGGTGACAGTGGTGACCATCACAGTCCCTGCCGGGCACAATGGACTTCTGCTCTGTGGGCAGGCTTGTGGGAGTGCCATGAGCCCAAGTTCCCGGAGCAGACTGGGCTCAGGGAGGGATCGGGTGGAAGCCCCCAGGGATGGCAGCACTTCCTGCCCGCACAGCTCCCGACCCCCACCCATGCCACAGGTGAGAAGGGCTTCTGACTGCCCAGCCTCAACCACCCGAGAAACACTGAGGCCACTTCTGTCAGTCCACGGGATGCTGTGGCCAGGGCTGGTCAGGAGGTAGCACAGGGTTTAAGATCTCGAAGCCTAAGGGCCAGGAGTGACCTCAGCAGAGTCATGGGAGGAAAGCCCAGAAGCAGCTCTGGGAGCACGATTCAGGGTGAAAATCTGGCAGCATAGGTAGAGAATGCTTCTCCAGGATTCTGGATCATGGGACTCAGGGCGAGGAAAGGGGGGCAGTCCTGGGGCCTCAGCCAGACCCCCTGCTGCCCCAGCCCAGGGGGAGTAAGTACTAGGTCTTCAGGTACACGTCCCAAGTAGTGACAAAGGTTCAAGGAAGGGGTCCCATGCTTGGCCTCGGTTTCTCCGTTTGCACAGTGCGGGCCGTGGTTGCCCTCATCCGGTCATTCACTGAAACACGTGAGCGTGTGCTGCTGCGATTGGTGTGCATCGGTGGGTCGTGCTGCCATGAGGGTGAGGGAGGGAAAGTCCTTTCAGTGTTTCCTGTCAGCATGGGGTAACAGCTCTCTGAGGTGATAGAGAAGAGGAGCCAAGAAGGAAAGTCTGGGTGCAGCTGGGAACAGGCAGAGGGACCCAGGCAGTGGCCATGGAGGGTCTCTAATGCCACACCAAGAGGCCTAGACTTGCTCAGGGTGGAGTGGCGGGGAGCAGCAAGAATCTTTGAGGGCTTCAAAGTGACAGGTGTAGGTCTGGGTGTGAACAAGAGGATGCCAGGTCTGGAAAGGGGGACCAAGAACTGGGGTTCTCAGCCTAGGGGAGCTGCACACCTCATAAGCACTGGGGACTGAAGGAGAAATAGGACATAGGGTCAATCCATCACCCACCAGAGGCTGCTTGAGCTCCCTGAGATGTGCAGGTGGGGTGTAGACTGCCCAGAACCTTCCGAGAGAAGATGAGAGCAAGAACAGCAGCACAAAGGGATAAAGAAGACGGCCGAGGAGGCCCAGGAATGTCAGGAAGGCAGGGCTGCTGATCCAGCTCCTTCCCACGGGGCCAGGGAGCTGGAAGGCAGCCCAGGCACAGCCCTGACTGCCTCCCCCATGGGGGCCCACCTGGTTGCTTGGCGAGATAAATGGACAGTGCAAATGCCACTAGAGGTTAAGCGGTGAAACCACAGCCGTGGTTGGCCCTAGGCCCGATCCTAAGTGTTTTACCTAAACAGTGACAGCCAAAACAGCGTACTCCACACCCAGCTCTGGCTTCGGCACCAAGTCACTTCGGCACTCCTCATGGCCCCATTCCCAGGGAGCACAGGCTCAAGAGGCAGAGGAAGTTGTTCAAGAGCACACAGAGCCCACGCTTGTCCGCTGTGGTGGAGAACCGGGTGGCAGGAGCCCCAAGCCCGTGGGTGGCCTTGAATGCCAGACCCAGGAGCTGAAAGCCAGTCTGGCGGAGGCAGGAGGAGTCCCTGGCCCAGACTTACATGCTTGTCACCTGCTTTCTGCAGGGAAACCCCGCCCCCCTGAAGCCAAGATGTCCAGCAAGCGGGCCAAGGCCAAGACCACCAAGAAGCGGCCACAGCGGGCCACATCCAATGTCTTTGCGATGTTTGATCAGTCCCAGATCCAGGAGTTTAAGGAGGCTTTCAACATGATCGACCAGAACCGTGATGGCTTCATCGACAAGGAGGACCTACACGACATGCTGGCCTCACTGGGTGAGCCGGGACGGGAGTGGGAGGGCGTGGGTAAGGGGCCCCAGCAGAGGCTGTTCGCCTCACGTCCTGTGTAGTGAGATGCATGGCCCCCACGCTAGAGGATTGTTGCCATGACTTCCTCCATTTAGCTGACAGGGAAACTGAGGTGCTAAGCAGCTCAGGGACTGGCCCAAGGTCTAGTGCAGGATTGGAGCCCAGCTAGGCTGGCTCCAGAGTCGGACTGCTGCAGGCAGCTTTGTGCATTGGGCTGCCCGATAGCATCTCATTTGAAGAAAGAGATCTGCTAAGTGAAAGTTCGAACTGCTCAGACTTCCCATTGTACCGACAGGGAAACTGAGGCCTCGCAGGGTGACCAAAGCACCTCTCTGCGTTCAATGTTACCTACTCCAGGCTCTGAGAGCCTCTCTGACCCCAGTGACTTCCCCAGAATCAGGATCTTAGAGCAAAAACAGTTCAAAAGTCAAATCCAACTTGTCATTGCTCAGATGGGGAAACTGAGGCCCAGACCACACCCCAGCCAGCCTCTGCCGCCAGACAGCTGCCTTCACCCTGCTTCCTGGCACACCCTCTCCCGGGTGACAACATCTGGACCAGACACTGGCTGGGGGGAGGGGGGCTGGGGGTG